AGTATTCCATGTGCGGCCAAACCTGCGCCGTATGAAGTTGCAGGTGGTGGCCGGCATGAAATACTGTCCCTCTCTGCTGAGCACGCCAAGCTTCTTAGAGGCCAATTTGGCCTTCTCTTCCAAGTGACCACGTAACTGCACGTCATTCGATTCCAATAATGATGATCCACTGTGATGATGATGGTGATGACGATCCTTCTATACATCACATGCTACAGTTTCACAATCGATTGATTTGGACAACGGCTATCTTGATTTAAAACAAAGAAGAACCTGTGCAGAATATTTTAATATTATATCCATTCTGATGCACCGCGTGGTTGCAGATTACTTTCACACGAAGCCAGTTCAGAATAATTCATTAAGTTCCTTATGTTATAAAAGGGCCATAGTGATTCACTAGAATAGCACAATTCTAGTGTCTAGAGTGAGGGACTACCTTACGCCACAACTTTTACCATTTACCCATTACCTATTATTGTCCTGTTCAGTTTACCGTGATAAAAGATATAAGGATAAGAAAAACTTTATTATTATTATTGGAAGCCATGAAATCTTTTTAGTATTTGTATGATACATTACATTACAAACAGACACTTCAATTTTATTTATTGCATACCTTAAGCGAAAGCGCAAAGTATGTTCTACTATCGCCTAAAAATTTAGATTCCAACGTTTTATCGAATAAAATCGTATCTAGCAATCATATTATACATATAAATGATATAAAAAGATCATTTTTAGAAAGATAAATCATTGTTGAATTTATTAATATTTTTTTTAAATCGATTAATTGCTATTTTTAAATAAAAAAGGGGTTTTGGTGGCTTATGGTGTGGATTTATCATGTCCCCAAGGCTTGTAAACACTATAACTTTTGAAAATATCAATTGTTTAACTCAATCTATTTTTTAATCTCTTCATCTATCATGTGGGAAGCCACTGAATGTAAATGGCAGTGTAATTTTGTTTTGTTTAGCTATAATAATTTTTTTTCGGCTCCAAAATGGCGAAATTTTCGTTGATTTGGTAGCCTCGTATGTAAATTATTTCTGTAAATGGGGAGCTACAGCCACAGAGTAGTTTAGTTCGTCTCTAGTATATATACAGTAATCTATGGTTCGGCTTCAGACGCCGTCGTGAGTGGACATTGTTTCGGTTGTTTGCAGCGGCTCAAAAAGATCGCTGTACAAATACACAATATTCGAATAACCAAATTTCTTAAATACTTGATGATAATAATAATAAGAGATTTTTTATTATAATATTTTAAAAGCACAGAACAAATAATAGTAGTACGTACTAAAAGTAAGTAGTATAATTTTTTTTCATAGTTTTCGAGGGTGTTGAAACCGATAGGGTTGTCGAAATGTAAATCCAAAATGGGGGCCGCAATAGGTATCAATTTTATCATCATGGGTGTCATTTTCATGGTTTTCGAGGGTGCTGAAGCCGATAGTGCTGTCGAAATGTAAATCCAAGATGGCGGCTGCAATAGGTGTAAATTTTTTCATCATGGGTGTCATTTTCATGGTTTTCGAGGGTGTTGAAGCCGATAGTGCTGTCGAAATGTAAACCCAAGATGGCGGCTGAATTAGGTACCAATTTTTTCATCATGGGTGTAATTTCCATAGTTTTCGAGGGTGTTGAAGCCGATAGTGCTGTCGAAATGTAAATCCAAGATGGCGGCTGCAATATATATCAATTTTTTCATCTTGGGTGTCATTTTCATGGTTTTCGAGGGTGGTGAAGCCGATAGTGCAGTCGAAATGTAAATCCAACATGGCGGCTGCAATAAGTATCAATTTTTTCATCATGGGTGTCATTTTAATGGTTTTCGCGGGTGTTGAAACCCTCGAAAACCATGAAAATGACACCCATGATGAAAAAATTGCTGTCGAAATGTAAATCCAGGATGGCGGCTGAACAAATTACCAATTTTTTCATCATGGGTGTCATTTTAATGGTTTTCGAGGGTGTTGAAGCCGATAGTGCTGTCGAAATGTAAATCCATGATGGCTGCTGCAATAGATACAAATTTTTATCTTGGGTATCATTTTCATGAGTTTTCGAGGGTGTTGAAGCCGATAGTGCTGTCGAAATGTGAATCCAAGATGGCGGCTGCAATAGGTATCAATTTTTTCATCATGGTTGTCATTTTCATGGTTTTCGAGGGTGTTGAAGCCGATAGTGCTGTCGAAATGTATTTAAATTACTTTAAAAAGTTCGTATAATCATGTTATACGTAATTTTTTTAATGCGCTTAAGGTATGCCCAATTGGATTTACCAATATATTTGTATAGATTATCCGAAAATGAATGTGATTTATGGGCAACGACGTTTTTGCTTACCGCGATCGCTAAGCATTGTTAACGATTGTTAACGATTGTTAACAATGCTTTTGTTAACGATTGTTAACAATGCTTACCTAACGATTGTTTGTGTGCGCAATAAAATCAGTTAAAATAATGCATTAACATGTATTTTGAATTTAAAAGATAAAAAGGACAGAATGTTTGAAATTGTTTTAAATTAATTTTTCTTCATCATTTGCTATATTACTTATTCTGAACCTTCTCTGCAAAGCCGGTTATTGCAAAATAACCCTGTATAATATGTTTTCTCGAAAATGGCTCTAACGATTTAATAAAAAACATATCAAGTTACGAAGTCGCACTGCTGTTTATCATTTCAAAGATGTCACGTAAAAAATCACAGCCTGGAGATCTTTATCATTTGAATTAAAACTTCAATGAAGTAAGAACAATTAAAGCAGTTATAATTGATTATATGAAATAATAAAACGTCATTACATCGTTTCATTGAAACATAATAGATAATTAAGTACTGCATTTATTGTCCATTGTTCTCAAGTATGGTAATGAGGGCATCCACGACTTTTTCTGCCACCAGGGCGCCGCAACTAGAAAGTGAGGTATAATATTTGATAGATTTTATAGTGAGGAAGTTAATTTGTTCGCAAAATGTAAAAGTTCTTTTTGTACTATTAGCTATATTTTATATTAATAACATTAAAAATAATTAAACCAAACCACAGATATTCAAAAAGTAGAAAAATTAAAAATCTAAGTTAAAAATGTGCAAATAATTAAAGAGCAAACTACTGACGCATTGTTTTGCTTTTGTGTATACACCATACATTAAATACTCTAGATCTAGAAACTGATAAACCTTTTTTAAAAAACAACTTCTCAATTAAATTACATTGTGAAACAAAAAAAACTTTACCTCAATTTCAACTAGCGACATCTGGTGAGCAGAAAATTATTAGCCCTCATTGCAGTGTGCTAGTGCAAGAGATATCGACAATTAATTTATGCCGTTAGTCTTGTACAAGTTCAAAGTTCAAATCCTAAGAGTATACAATATACATAAGCATAGCTCGCTTGACTATACTCTAAGTTCAAACCCGTTTTAACGTTAGACTAAGTCGGTTAGACTTAAAAAAAAGGACGAATGTAATGTCTTCAAAATTCGAATGTAATTTTGCTTTGTGTTTTTCAATTTCGATGATTCTTTTTTATTTAAAAGCTGGTGCTCCTCATGTAGTCCCATATAAATTGGATCAAGATCTGACCATTAGTTTTTAAGTTATCCTTAATAATGCTTATTTAATTGATTTCGAATACATTCATGATGTTCTCATTTTATTTATATCGAAGTCGGTTGTACAAAATTTTTAATTTTACCACTTGTATTAACTTGAGTAGATATTAACTCTCTAAAAACGTATTATTAGCTACATTATTGTGTTGATATCCGACTTGATATATATCATCCCGTGGCTGTCGTGAGAGGTGACAGAGGGAAACAAACCAGGAGATGCTGTATCCAGCAGCATCACTCTAATTACATAAAGAAAATAAAAACTTGCACTCCTTGGTGGCTGAAGTCCGTGTGTGCACGTCTCGTGCGTTCGTTCTTCTTTTCTTTCTTTTTAAATAAAAAATAAATTTCGTATTAAATAATAGATCGCAACAGTCCACTGCTGGACATAACTAACGTTGTAGGGAGGTAGTCACGCTTGGCAGGCATTAGCGATCGCAGTAGACTTCTCGCACCTGTGCCACAGCTGCTGTCTCCAGTCTGGGTATTTAATGTATTGTGTAAACAAGATGGCATACCATCTATCGGAAGGTATACAATTTTTCTTGCATGACCCATAGTCGTCACTCCTCACACCAAGGGACGTAATGCGGCAGAGGATTCTCTAATGCGGTCATTACGATTATGCGTTAATCCTTATCCTTATTTTAACAAGACGTAACCCAACATTTACCCCAAAAAAAAGCACAGAAATAAAAAAAAAGAATTTAAAAAACTTACGGCTCCGTGGCACAGTGGCTTAGCAATTGAGTTGCAGCGCTAAGGGCCGCGGGTTCGAATCCCGCACGGAACAAGTATTTGTATGGCCTAGAAATAATTCGTCGTTGACGCCCCAAAGGGGCGAACCTCAATTTTTAAATAAATTACAGGAGAGCAAGAAAACATTTATTATTCCCCGATTACTAGCTTTTCCATCAGAAAATGAAATATATTAAACTTAATGGAAAACTACAAATAAGATTCTGCTCTCTTGTAATTTTTTGAAAAATTGAGGTTCGCCCCTTTGCGGCATTAGCGACGAATTGTTCCGGGTCTGAATGTTTGAATTTATGTTTGTAAACTGCCCCCACGATACAGGAGAAAATCCTAGTGTGGAGGTTACGTTTTTTTTTTAAGAAAAACTGACCCCAACACGAGTATATTAAATTACTCTCAAAAGCGCGAGTATTTAAAAAAAAGTCCCGCTGGTTTTTTGCCGGTTCTTCCCTGGACAGATGTTTTCCGAACCAGTGGTAAAGCTTAAATGACTTTAAATGATTCTATTCTATTCTCTGGGGTTGTTTCACCACTAATATGTGAAAAAAATCTTATGTTAAATACATTTATTTTTTTATTTTCTTCCAGGTGAAGCACTTCATGCAGCCCTGATGAAATGAAGCCATTTATAAAACAGGTAAATTCTCTATTATAAGGGGGAGTATTTGACGGCTCCATGGCATAGTGGCTTGGCACTGAGATGCGGCGTTGAGGGCCGCGAATTCGAATCTCGCACGGAACAAGTATTTGTACGAAAAATATTTTAGTTTCGGGTCTGAATTGTTCTTGTGCAATTTATGCATGTAAACTGACTCCTTAATTTAATATTAATAAATTAAAAAATCTAGGTGTCTATTGGACATGGTCCACTTACCATCCAGTGGGTTGTGTTCGTTTGCACATGCATTTGTCACCCCTGAGAACTTAGATGAAATGCCTTGTTTTCAGTAAAAAGGGTATCCTGTTCGCTACACCATGGTTTGGGAATTCCCGACAATTTCAAAGTTCCGGGACACGGGACAGCCTATAATTAAAGTCCCGGGAATTCCCGGGACTTCGAGACTTTTAAGATAAAGCTTTTTTGTTTTTTTAAGATGGGTAAGCCTTTTTGAACAATTTTAATTGAGTTAATTTCTGGTCAAACGTATTTAAAACAGGCAATTTTTTGTAAATATCAACATCTATCAAACAAGTAGCTGACGCGGCAAACGTTCTTTTGCCATATACATTATTTCTAGAAAATATTTTTTACTTTTAAAAATTGCGATTAAAAAACAGGGGTTGATCGTAGAAGAGTGAAAATTTGAAGTTTTATGTATTTTTCACTGCTAATTCATAATAAAATAAAAATAAAAAATTGTCAAAAAAATAAAAAATATTTAGGGGTGGGTATCACCCTTATCATTTAGAGATTTGAAAAATAGCTGTTGACCGATTCTCACACCTACCCGATATGCACACAAAATTTCATACAAATCGGTTCAGCCGTTTCGGAGGAGTTTGGTAACAAACACCGCGACACGAGAAATTTATAATATATTAGATTAAATAGAAAATTAAATAACTTTAACGTTAATTTCAGCCTAAATAATTGCTTTGTTTGTTTCTTTTAGTCACACACAGATGCACTTCTAAACAGATAAATCTTATGGTTATGAAAAGAACTTAGTTAAAAATCATACTAATTCTTAATAACTTTACTATTATCTAGTAATTCTAGTATCTAATCATAGTTCATAATCTCATTGTTATTTCTCATAATCACATATTTGTTTCATTTATTGTGTTGCGTATTAAGTAGTTACGTAGTATACCAAGTAATTTTTCATTAAACTAACACATGGCGCTAGGCTGCTTTAATTATTTGAAAATAAAAATTATTACATAACAATTTCGACAATCTTGTCTCGTCTCGAGTCTTGACCCGAAAGTCCCGGGACGCGAGACAACTAAAATTACGAAAAGTCCCGGGACTTCGAGACACGAGACGTCCCGGGAACCAAACCCTACGCTACACTCACCATACAAAACACAGCAGTGTTAAGCTGCTATTTAAAGTTGCTATTCCGTGAGAGCGTGGTTCTAGTATCCATAGCGGTGTATAATATAAATATTTTTTTATATAGGAAGGGTGACTGCAGACTGAGATGCAACGCCTCGTTTCCAGTAAAAAGGGTCTCCAGTTCTCTACACTCATCATACGAAACACAGCGGCATAAATCTGCTATTTTACGCTGGAGACGCTCTATTCTATGAGAACGTGGTCCTTCCCCGGTTGAGCCGACCCATTCGTGCTACAACTCTACCAGCAATATAGCTGCAGCATGGTTCTACCACGTAGAGAAAAGTTAATCATTAAATTTTAAATTGGCGTGTTCCAGGCGTTCGTGGTTGCGGGAGCGGCCCTCAATATCGTTGGTCATGGATGCGCGCACGGTTACCCGGCGGTGCTGTTCACCCAGCTGAGGAGCGATGGAGGACCAGTGACCCTGACTGATCATGATACTTCGTGGATAGGTGAGCACTTGTTTATGTTATCCATAGATATAAAAAAAATTAATTGTCTGTCTGTAATATTGAAATAACTAGCTTCTATTAAGCTCGGGGTTATTTGCATGCAATTAAGATATAAATAACGATTTTGAAATTTTTTGTGTGTCCGTTTGTTTTTCTGTCTGTCCGGGCTTATCTTCAGAATGCTATAAACTTGCTTTATGATCTCTAAAAAATATTTATATAATTATGTACGTTCATTTAAACTATATATATATATATATATATATATATATATATATATATATATATATAAATAAGTTGACATATGCATACATATAATATACATAAATATAATATTTGCATACCTTTTATATTAATATGTCAATAATTCATTCAGTCATTCATGCAGTTTATTAAAAATGCACTGATTGCCTTATGAAACAGAAACAGAAACAGAAACAGAATTTTTTTATTCAATATAGATTATAAATAATACTTATTGAAAGTCACTCTTTTGTTTGATTACCACTGGTTCGGAAAAAACCTCTGTCCTGGGAAGAACCAGCAAGAAACCCAGCGGGACTTTTTTTTAAATAACAGTTTACAATCATGATGTTACACAAATTAACAACACAACAAATTAGAAATAGCTTGGTAGCGATCACCTCATTTCCAGGGGTTATTATCATCCATAAATTCCTTAATATTATAATAACCCTTTTTATACAAACTTAGTTTAATAAAGTTTTTGAACTTTGAACAGGCCAAACTTTGTATATTTTCTGGAATTTTGTTGTAAAAGCGTATACATCGCCCCAAGAATGAATTACTGACTCGATGGAGTCGAGTAACTGGTACTACTAGCTTGTGTCTGTTCCTAGTATTTACAGAATGAATATCACTTATTTTTTTTAAACTACTTTTATTTTTGTGTACGTACATTACATTTTCATAAATGTATTGAGAGGCCAAAGTTAATATATTAATTTCCTTAAATTTTTGTCGCAGCGACTCTTTAGGCTTTAAATCATAAATTGCTCTTATGGCCCTCTTCTGCAAAACAAATATAATTTCAGTGTCAGCTGCGTGTCCCCATAGCAAAATACCATACGACATTATGCTATGGAAGTAGCTGAAGTAAACTAGTCTAGCTGTTTCAACACTGGTTAGACTTCTAATCTTTTTTACAGCATATGCTGCAGAACTAAGTCTGCTTGCTAGTTTTGATATATGGGGGCTCCATTGAAGCTTCGCGTCTAGTGTGATTCCAAGAAAAATGGTGGTATCTACAAGACTCAGTTTCTCCCCATTTAAAATTACATTAGTATTTAATTGTTTTTTTTTTTTTTTTATAGGAGAGGGGGCAAACGAGCATGCGGCTCACCTGATGGTAATTGACTACCGCCGCCCATGAACAACCGCAACATCAGGGGAATTGCAGATGTGTTGCCGGCCTTTTAAAAAGGAGTAGGCTCTTTTCTTGAAGGTCCCTAAGTCGTATCGGTCCGGAAAAATCGCTGGTGGTAAACTATTCCACAAGGAAGTTGTGCGAGAAAGAAAACATCTTCTAAATCGCACAGTGGTGGACCGCCAATCATCCAGATGGTGTGGATGGTATCGGGAGTTCTGCCGCGATGTGCGTTCGTGAAATTTGGCGGCTGGGATTAATCCGAACAATTCCTCAGAGCACTCCCCATGGTAAATGCGAAAGAAAATGCTAAGAGTCGAGTAATGAGTCGAGCCGATCGGAAAGGACTCGGTCGTCGACGATTCGAGCCGCTCTGCGCTGGATGCGGTCAAGTGGAAGAAGCTGGCACTGGGGAGCCCCAGCCCAGAGATGGGAACAGTATTCCATGTGAGGCCGAACCTGCGCCTTGTAGAGTTGCAGGCGTTGAGCCGGCATGAAATACTGTCCCGCTCTGCTGAGCACGCCAAGCTTTTTAGAGGCCAATTTGGCCTTCTCTTCCAAGTGACCACGAAACTGCACGCTACTCGATGTGTCGACGCCGAGGATTCCGATACTGGCTGAGGCAACAAGGGGAGTACCTTGAAACTGAGGAGATACGACAAAGGGGTTCTTTTTAGCGGTAAACGCGCAAACTTGTGTCTTCTGAGGATTAAACTGGACTAGATTTAGTCGCCCCCAATCCGAGACTTTGTCCAGCAAAGACTCGACTTCAGACACAAGTTTGTTCCGGTACTCGGTGACGTTTTCCCGAGAAATATTGGCACGGCCGGTGTATAGAGCATCACCAGTGCTGTCATCTGCATAGCAATGAATGCTACCAGCTTGCAACATATCATTGATATGCAGAAGAAACAGCGTTGGTGATAGCACGCAGCCTTGTGGAACACCAGCGTTAATAGGCTTGTAGTCGGAGCATGCACCGTCTACAACGACCTTGATGCTCCGATCTGCAAGAAAGCTGGTGATCCAATTGCATAATTTCTCGGGAAGCCCATAGGAAGGGAGCTTCGAAAGAAGCGCTTTGTGCCAAACCCGATCGAAGGCCTTCGCAATGTCCAAACTAACGGCCAATGCCTCCCCCTTGGACTCTACTGCCAACGCCCATCTATGAGTTAAGTAGACCAGAAGATCACCAGCTGATCGACCCCGACGAAAACCGTACTGGCGGTCACTAATCAGCTGGTGATCCTCAAGGTACCGCATGAGGTGGCAGTTTACAACGGATTCCATTATTTTGGAGAACAAGGGGGTGATGGCGATAGGCCTGTAGTTGGACGGATCTGAGCGGTCGCCTTTTTTAGGGATCGGGTGGACAAAAGCTGTCTTCCATGATTTCGGGACTACGCCTAGGGAGTAGGAGTACCGGAAAAGACGCGTTAGAACCGGTGCCAACTCCGGAGCACACATCCTCAGCACAATTGGGGGGATTCCGTCAGGCCCACTCGACTTGTGGATGTCAAGGGAGAGGAGTGCTCTGCGAACCGAGCGCTGTGAGAATCGCACATCCGGCATGGAGCACTCACACCGCGGGATGGTCGGCGGTGTGTTCCCCCCGTCATCAACAGTCGAGTTGGACGCAAAAAGGGAGCCTAAAAGGTCGGCCTTCTCTTTTGCGTCGTGGGCCAGTGAGTAGTCCTCCCTGTGCAGAGATGGTAGTGATGGCTTACAGAAATTCCCTTGGACAGCCTTGGCGAGAGACCAGAATGCACGGGTTCCCGAAGGAAGGCGAACTAGTTTCTCGCCAATTCTGCCTATGTGCTCTGACTCTGCCTTGGCAATAACTCTTTTGAAGGACCTGGAGGCGAAGTTATACTTCTTTTTGAATGTGCTGGTGTTTACATCCCGAGTCACCGAAGCCGCAGCCCAGGCTTGATAACACTCCTGCTTACTGCGTAATGCAGTCTTACAGGAGCGACCAAACCAAGGCTGAGATCTGCCTCCGATGGGTACCACAGATGATGGAATAAATAGTTCCATTCCCTGTTGCACTACATCAGTGACAGAGTCAGCAACAGCGCTGGGATCATCCGGCGAGAAGCAAACCCGCCCCCATGGGTAGGAAGCAAAGAAAGACCGCATTCCGTCCCAATCCGCCGACCTGTAATGCCAAACACGGCGGCAACCTGCAGAACGCAACCGCGAGGGTAGCGTGAGTGGCACCACACTCCGGATCAGACAATGGTCCGAAGAGCCAAGAGGGGCATCGACGGAAACCTGATATCCGTCCGGATGAGAGGTCAGCAGAAGGTCCAACAGGGAAGGTGTATGATCCTCAACATCTGGAATCCGCGTAGGTGATGTAACCAGTTGTGTCAGACCATATGCCAAGGCAAAGTCATAAACAGATCTCCCCGCATGATCGGTTAAACGTGAACCGAGCCATTCGGCGTGGTGGGCGTTAAAATCGCCAAGGATCACGATCTCTGCGGATGGGACCTGTTGTAGCAAGGAATCTGTAGCCATTTGGACGTGGTCGATGAGTCGGTCTGTTTCGGCATTACCGCTATGGGACCTATAGAGGCACACGTAGACGCGCGGATGGTCGTCGCTGTCTACGCGTAGCCAAAGGATGGACAGGTCCGAACCTTCAAGACTGCCGAGGCGTCGAGAACAGATGTCCTCTCTGACATACACGCAAACTCCAGCCCGAGGCACAAAGGAGTGCTCCAATTTGTACCCCGGGTAGGAGAGATACGAAGTATCAGCCGGAGAGGACACCTGCGTCTCGGTCAGAAAGAGCAAGGCCGGCTTCGCCGTCTCAAGATGGTAGTGGACGGCGTTTAGGTTCGAGTGAAGTCCCCTGATGTTGCAGAAATTCACGGATAGCGTGGCAGGGGTCGCCTTGGTCTTGTTGCTCAGTTTGCCCCGAGCAGTTATTGTGTTGAGCGGAATTTTGCCCCCCCCCAGAATACGCGGGGCAGCCTGAGCACCCACGCTCAGGAGTGGAATAGCATGGTCGTGGATGCTCAGCGAGGGATTCTCCAGGGGTACTGGTACCCTCCTGGGGTAGTTTATGACGTAATTCCGCTACCATGTTGATGGGGGGGGGGGGAATTGGGCATCCGGTCACCTGCACTCACCAGACGAAACGCGGAAGCAGAACTTCCACTTCACGCCGGTATTCTGTGAGGTCGTGGTACTAACCCGGCTCGAGCCGGCCCATACGTGCAACAGCAAAAGCTGCTGCAAGGCTCTACCACCGTTAAACTTTTGTACAAGCTGGATTGTGAATGTGGTCTCTCGTACATAGGACAAACAAAAAAAGATCTATTAAAACCCGCGTTAAAGAACATATAGCTGACGTGAAGCACCGACGTATCGGGAAGTCTGCACTTTGTGAACATGTTCAAGATCATCCCCGCCATTACATTAGATTTGATAGACCACAAATCCTCGCAAAAGAACACCGATTCTTCCCAAGGATGATTCGCGAGGCTATTGAAATTAAAAAACATCCTAATTTCAATAGCGAAGATGGATGGGTGCTGCCATCTGCTTGGGATCCCATAATTAATAAAATCAAATCCAAACCCAAGTATACCACTGCTAGACTTCAAGATACTGTAAGCTCATTCTGCGTAAATCGAACCAAAAATTAATATTAAAAAACTGAAGGTAGCCGGGCTAACTATGACAGCAGGACGTCAAACAACTCAGACCCCCGTGACCACGGGTGCTGGAAAACACCCGAAACGTTGGGAATATATAAAAATAAAAATAAGTAAAAATTATTTACTTCGTCGTATTTTAGTAACTGTCGACTTAATTTGAAAATTAAAGAAGTGTCATTTGCAAATAATACTATATCATGGTTATCCCCTATTATGTAAGGTAAGTCATTAATGTATACAAGAAACAGAAAGGGGCCGAGAATTGAGCCTTGAGGCACGCCCATTTGTACCATCGATCCGGAAGAGCTCATATTGTTAATGACAACTTTTTGCGTTCTCTTACTTAAATATGAAATAATTAATTCAAGGGCATCACTTCTTACACCATAGTGTTGAAGTTTCCTGATTAATGTTTCATGGTGAACACAATCGAAGGCCTTGGATAGGTCACAAAATATACCCAAAGCATCCTGTGAATTCTCCCATGCATTAAAGATATATTTAATCAGCTCAACACCGGCATGAGTTGTCGAGCGACCCCTTGTGAAACCAAATTGATTTTTATGAAGTAAATTATTTATATTAAAAAAATTTTACATTTGATCAAGAACAATTTTTTCAAAAATCTTACTAAGTGTTGGTAGTACAGAAATAGGTCTAAAATTGGCGGGGTCTAATGTACTACCAGATTTAAATAAAGGTATTACTTTACTATGCTTCATTAAATCAGGAAACACACTAGATTCGATACTAGTATTAAAAATAATAGCTAAATGAGGCGCAATTGTATCTATTATAGACGCAATAACTTTAACGGAAACCCCCCACAGATCCGCAGTTTTCTTAACATCAATAGTTTTAAAATATTTTACAATATCTTTTGATGACACTTTATGAAATGTAAAATTCTTTGTACACACATTTACATTTTGTTTAAGTAATGATTCGGCGACGGCAGGAGAAGAATTCAGTGACTTAGTGGTCAAGATCGGAATATCAGTAAAATATTTCTCAAAAACCATTGCTACGTCCTGATCTGATACAGTTAATTTGTTGTTAAGACTTAACTGGTAATTTGAATTGCGAGAGTTGATCTTACCAGTTTCGCTATTAATTATACTCCATGTCATTTTAATTTTATTGGAAGCCGTCTTAATTTTGTTGCTCAAATGCAAAGACTTGGCTATGGAGCACACTCTTTTAAATATTTTTGAATATTTTTTTACATATTCCCTAAATTCGACGCTATGATTATATGACCTTTCATGGTAAAGATCATATAACCTATGCCTGCTCTTATCGACTCCTACTGTCGCCCATTCATTGAATGACTTCAGACTGTTCAAGGAGAATGTTTTAGAAGTAAAAGTATTATTAAATTCATTGCAAATAAGCTTAAATAATGTTCCATACAAAAAATTAGGATCATTTTGGTATGAAAGTGATGGAAGTTTTTTCACTATGTTACTTCTAAATTTCTCCAAGCGACGTGCATTTACTGGAACAGACACAACTTTCTCATCTACTTGCTTTTTGTGAACATAAGGTAACGAAACTACTTGTCCACAGTGATCAGAACTTAATTTTTGAATTATACATTTATGCAACGGCTTCACATTTGTAAAAATGTTATCTATACATGTTGCACTAGATTGAGAAATACGCGTTGGCTCTATAAATAAATTAAAAAGACCATATGATTTAAACAATGATCTAAATTTAATATTGATGGAGGAAGCTTCTAGGAGATTGATATTAAAATCTCCACATATTACAACAGATTTATTCTGTTTATTAAGCTTAGCAAAAACTTTCTCCATAATGTTTTCAAAAGTATCATATGTACAACATGGGGGTCTGTAGACGCTCACAACAATGAGGTGCTCAAACTCAACACATGCCATTTCTACAGTTCGCTCAACAGAGAGGCTCACAATGTCTTTACTTTCTTTACATGATAATAATTTACTAGCTAATATTAAGGAGCCACCTCTTAAAACCGTATCTCTATTGAAAGAACTAACCACCTGGTGATTACTGAAGTTAAACATTAAATTATAAGCTTTTAACCAATGTTCAGTAATACATTATAGAGGGTTATTTACCATAGCTGGTGGTCTTTGAGTAATCAGAAAGTTGTTGCTGCCCACGTTGCTCTAACAAAACCCACGGAATCGTATGTGGTAGTGATTTCTCATACAGGAACTTTTATTTTCTTGTGGTATCTTTTATTTTCTCATGGTAAAATGTAGTTAATGCATAGCATGGTCTAATAAACATCCAAACGTTTTCTTATGCTTTCACTTGTTTCGTATTAGTATGTATAATGGAATAAAATTCATCAGTATTTTATTTATCTGTTTCAGCTTCCGTGGTCGGACTCATGGGAATAGTCGGAAATTTCATATCACCCGTTCTGATGACAAGATTTGGTCGACAGAAGGCGCACATCATCAGCACAATACCAGCACTTCTGGGCTGGATAGTTTTTGTAATTGGGAACTCTGTGCCAGCCTTCCTTCTTGCCAGACTTCTACATGGCCTAGCGTTGGGCTTACGGACTCCACTAGCTGCAATATTAGTGGCCGAGTATACTGAACCAAAATATCGTGGAGCATTTCTTGGCACCTTTGCGATATCCTTAGGTTTAGGAATTTTATTGTCTCACGTTTGGGGCGCACATTTGACATGGAAAATGACGGCTACGGTTTGTTCCATGTTTCCACTCATAGCCATGGCTATTATCAGCCTTTCACCAGAATCTCCAAGCTGGTTAGTCTCGAAAAGCAAATTCGATGAAGCACGAAAGGCTTTTAGGTGGCTTAGAGGAAATGCTGATGACCAAAACGAAGAGCTCGAAGCAATGATTGAAGCCCAAAAGAGAGAAATAGTGACAAAACACAATACAATTAAAGTCGTTAAAAGATTTAAGTGGAAACGTGTTTTGCAACCAGCAATCGATACGTTGAAGAACGTGATAAAGATTTTTAAGAAGAAAGAATTCTACAAGCCGTCCATAATAGCTATAAGTATGCTGCTAGTATTCGAGTTCGGTGGAGCACACATGGTACCAGCTTACGGAAATTTGATTCTTCAAGCTGTTCTGGACAAGAAAGATCCAAAAGATGTCACGTGGCAGTTTACAATAATAGACCTATTAAGAACAATATGTGCACTGCTGGCTATCTTTTTGCTCAAATGGTTTAAGCGTAGGACAATCCTTTTCACGAGCGGTATCATGACAGTGTTCTCCTTAAGTACTGTATCAGTTTTTGTGTATCTAAGGAAAGCTGAGGTTTTAACAAACAGTTGGTTATTAGACGTTGTACCAATGTGTTTGATGATCCTTTATACTTTGACGTTCTGTTTAGGATTGGTTCCTTTAAACTGGGTGATATGCGGTGAAGTGTTTCCATTAGCTTATAGAAGTATGGGTTCGACTCTATCTACGTCATTTTTAACTCCCGCTTTCTTAGTTTCCATGAAAACTGCCCCTCATCTCTATACGTCTATTGGGGTTGAGGGTGCATTTTTAGTATATTCAGCAATTTTGACTATAGGTTTATTAATAATGTATGTTCTGTTACCAGAGACAAAAGACCGAACTTTACAGGACATCGAAGAAAGTTTTAAAGGTAAAAATAATGTTGACCTTGAAACACAGACGAATCTTATAGAAAGAGAAAATATTACTGTGAAGTGATCTGAGTTTGGAGGCTGTTGTTATTTCGAATTTAGTAAAATTAGGTGAATTAAGCAAAAAAAGAAAATTCATTGAATATTGTGAAGAATGTACAAAGAATCAAGTTTTAAACCGCCTTTATAATTATTAGGAATTTAAATTTTATCAAACGATTCCTGGAATGCTGGAATTTTGTCTAACATGGAAGTAAATTATGATTAACGCAAAGAAAAAAAATCAGAGATTTGAAATCGCTATTTAAAGGTAGTATTATTATGACAGATAAAACGAGCTTAGACAGTGTTTAAAAAATTGACGACGAAAGTACAATAGTTAAGCATTTGACGACAGCACTGCGAGACCGCAGCTAAAAACCAGAAACAAGTATTTATATGTTAGGGCCGATTTTCCACACCTCAAATTTTATTCATAGAACAAAATACAACATTAACAAATTAAAAATTGCAGTTGTATAAATATAAAAGTTCACTTCTTGCACTTTTATATTCGGTCGGGTTATAATTAATTCTATTTAATTTTTATCCGACAATTGAAATTTTAATACTTACAAACAATTTCTCTAGGCCTAGGTGTTTGCCCATGTGCAAATTATGTATATAAAATGTATACATGTAACAGGAGAAATACCTAGTTGAGTTTTTAAAGTATAATAAAATAGAAATAGAAATATGCTACCCTCAGACGAATAAATAAAGATAGACGAAGCGCTGCTTACATTTGAAATGACGCTCAAGAAAAGCTCAAACTATACCAAACTTATTGCAGGAACACGTACTAACGCACACTTATGCATCTAAAATCATTTCAACCAATAAAATGCTTTTAGGTAAATGTTTGCGTCCAGCAGTGGACTTTTGCGAGATGTTAAAGAGAGAAGGAAGACGTTCGCGTGAGAAAGTGTCGGAAAGTTGAGCATAATTTCGGCGTCATTGAAGACATCAACGACTTTTTCATACGAAAAATGTAAAAATTAAAGTTTCTGAAATAATTGTTATATTTTGCATTCATTTGATTAGAAATGGATAAAACAAACTACGGATAAACTTAAAAGAGGAAGAATAGAAAAAAGTTAAAAAGATGTAAACATAAAAGAACATACCACTAAGACATTGTTTTGTGTATATACATAAAAAAGAAATCGAAAAGCTTTCAACAAGACTTCTCAATGATGACACTGTGTGGCAAATAAGTTCGCCTTACTACTAGCGACATCTGGTGTGCGTAAGATGTGTGAACTCATTGAAATGTACGCAGTGCTCCATCTACCTTGCTTTATTGGTCTGTGATGACAGTAAATAGTTGACTGTAAAGAACATTGCATCTAGTACTGTCGATTGATGACAGAATACAAATATAGTATGTTAAGAAGTAAAATCTTAAGTTTTATGGACCTTGGTTTCATTTACACAAAGTGTAAAAAGTATTATTGAATCTAGACGAAATAAAGCTTGGGACCAAACCTAAATGTGTAGAGTATTTTTAAGTTGGGCCGATTTTTCAACCATCGGTTATTCAAAAGATTTCACTTTTATATTCAATTGTTTCACTTTTATATTTATAATTAGTTGGTTTATAAATTATTCGATTGACAAAGAAGAATTTTATCTGATGATTGATGAATTGGCCCTTAGTATTACAAGAAAATGTGAATAAAATCGTTTTTAGATATAGAATTAGAATTAGAATGAAACCTGTGAAAATAAATATTGTTTTTATTATATAATGTTTCAATTGATTAATGAAGATATCAGTAGTATCAGTAAACTGAAATGACAATAGATCACGATTTTACGTGGTGGAGCCACGCTGCAGCTGTATTATAGTTGTAGCACAAATGGGCCGGCTCGACCGGGGCACGATCATGCGCTCTCACAGAATACTAGAGTAAAATAGCAGCTTAATACTGCTGTTTTTCGTATAAGTGTAGAGAACCGGAGACCCTTTTTATGGGAAACGAGGAATTCCGACAACCGCCACTACACAGTAACCGCCACTACACAGTAACCGCCACTGCACAGCTTCCGCCACTATACAGCAATCGCCAAAACATAGTTACCGCCACTACACAGTAACCGCCACTACACAGTAACCGCCAATACATAGTAACCGCCACTACACAGCAACCGCCAATTAAAGTAGCCGCCACTATACTGTAACCGCCACTACACAGCAACTGCCACTACATAGTAACCACCACTACACAGTAACCGCCACTACACAATAACCGCCAATACATAATAACCGCCACTACACAGCAACCGCCACTTTAAAGTAACCGCCACTACACAGTAACCGCCACTACACAGTAATCGCCACTACACAGTAACTGCCAATACATAGTAACCACCACTACACAGCAACCGCCACTTTAAAGTAACCGCCACTACACAGTAACCGCCACTACACAGTAACCGCCACTACACAGTAACAGCCACTACACAGCAACCACCACTATATAGTAACGGCCACAACACAGCAACCGCCACTACACAGCAACCACCACTACATAGTAACCGCTACTACACAGCCACCACCACTACACAGCAATCACCACTACACAGTAACCACCACTACACAGTAACCGCCAATACACAGTAACCGCCACTACACAGTAACCGCCACTACGCAGTAACCGCCACTACAGACTAACCGCCAATACATAGTAACCACCTCTACACAGCAACCGCCACTTTAAAGTAACCGCCACTACACAGTAACCGCCACTACACAGTAACCGCCACTACACAGTAATAGCCACTACGCAGCAACCACCACTATACAGTAACTGCCACAACACAGCAACTGCTACTACACAGCAACCAGCACTACATAATAACCGCTACTACACAGCCACCACCACTAAATAGCAATCACCACTACACAGTAACCGCCACTACACAGTAACCGCCAATACATTATAACCGCCACTACACAGTAACCGCTACTACACAGTAACCGCCACTACACAGTAACCGCCACTACAGACTAACCGCCAATACATAGTAACCACCTCTACACAGCAACCGCCACTTTAAAGTAACCGCCACTACACAGTAACCGCCACTACACAGTAACAGCCACTACACAGCAACCACCACTATACAGTAACCGCCACAACACAGCAACCGCTACTACACAGCAACCACCTCTACATAGTAACCGCTACTACACAGCCACCACCACTACACAGCTTTCACCACTACACAATAACCGCCACTACACAGTAACCGCCAATACATTACAACCGCCACTACACATTAACCGCCACTACACAGTAACCGGCACTACACAGTAACTGCCACCACACAGTAACCGACTCTACACAGCAACTGCCACTACACAGTAATCATCACCACACAATAACCACCACTACACAGCAACTACTACTACATAGTAACCGCTACTACACAGCCACCACCACTACACAGCAAACACCACTACACAGTAACCGCCACTACACAGTAACCGCTAATACATAGTAACCGCCACTACACAGCAACCGCCACTTTAAAGTAACCGCCACTACACAGTAACCGCCACTACAAAGTAACCGCCACTACATAGCAACCACCACTACATAGTAACTACCACTACACAGTAACCGCCACTACACAGTAACCGCCACTTTAAAGCAACTACTATTTCACAGTAACCGTCACTACACAGCAACCGCCATTATAAAGTAACTGCCACTAATCAGTAACCGCCACTACCTAGCAACCACCACTACACAGCAACCACTACTACTCAGTAACCACCACTACATAGTAACCGTCACTTCACAGCAACCACCACTACACAGTATCCGCTACTAAACAGTAACCACCACTACACAATAACCACCCCTACTCAGTAACCACTACTTAATTGTAACCGCCACTACACAGCAACCACAACTTTACAGTAACCGCCACTACACAAGAAACACCACTACATAATAACAGCCAGTACACAGCAACTACCACTACACAGAAACGGCCACTAAACAGTAACCGCCACTACACAAGAACTACCACTACATAGTAATCGCCACTACACAGTAACCACCACTACACAGTTACCGCCACTACACAGTAATAATCTCATTAGCTAACAACCTAAAACTATGACTAGGAATCGTTTATCATAGTTGTCGAATTGCGCATACGAACCCAAGTGTTTTTAGATTCACAGTTAGTATTCTTAACCATTAGGGCTTTGTTGTTTTAAATCGTTAGTTGAGCAGTCTGACAACAATCCTATTCAAGAAGTTTCTATTTGGGTGTCTTCGCTTCAACTTTCTCGGCACAAAATTCAATTCCTGGGTATTGTCTGTAATTTTAATATTAGTTATACCTGGGTGGCCGAGCTTTGCTTGGTATTAGAAAAAAGTATAATTTACTTATGGATGACACTTATCTAGATAAAGAAATTAAGTAAAGCGTTTATCTAAGCACAAAATTTCATACAAATCGTTAGAGTGGAAACGGCTCCACGTCATCCAGAAACCATTTACCGTAACGGTATAATTTACCGTTACAGCCTAACAAAAATCCACTGCTGAACTTAGGCCTCCCTCATAGATTGCCTTGATTATACAGGATATATTATCCATACTTGCCGCAGTTGGAAGACATCATCTGACAAAGAAACTTGTACACTCCCAATCCGATGGTAAATCACCACTACAGTCCATGGGAACCTGCTACTGCTGACTAAGAGTCAAATTATTGGTTAAGTTAAAGAGCCTACTCCTTTTAAAAAGGCCGGCAACGCATTTGCAATTCCCCTAGTGTTGCAGTTGTTCATGGGCGGCGGTAGTCACTTACCATCAGGTGAGCCGCATGCTCGTTTGTCCCCTCTCATATAAAAAAGACGCCTAACTGAAATGCCGTACTGAAACTGCATTACTTATAATTAGGTTCATTTGTGAGCATCATTAAACTAGTGCATGTTCTTATCATGAAGCAATTTTTGCGATAGTTACCATGTGTGAGAGACTTTAACCGCTATCGGTACTG